AACTTAGAGAATGTGGTGCATTTCCTTCCCTCTGCCAGCATCACTGAGATTCCCTGGGAGAAAATTACAGTGACACACATTCTCTTGTGTAACTTACACAGTGTAAGGGGAATGGCATCAGTGGTATCAGCAGACTGATGCTAATGAAAGACTCCTTGCTTCAATGTGGGGTCACACATGAGTTGTATGCAATGAAATGACATGAAAGCAATGAGGAGTTGAAGTGGGAATTCTTTAATTAGTATTACTCTACCACTGTCTTCGACTACATTTCCCCTACACTGGTATTAATTATGCAAAAGGATTTGGGCCAGTAAATCTAAGCAGTTATGCATGAGGGACCAAATTTCAGAATTATTTGTGCTCCAAATCAACCACAGTGCATAAATCCGTGAACCTGCAAAATGTGGTTTACCAAACATCCCTGTTTTTGTTTTGCTATACGAATTCCAGGCCTGAAAGTTAGCAATGTAATTTCTTAATCAGATGAATGTGCAGTTGTAAATCTGCCAGTGTTTGTGTCCTTCACTACAAAGGGCTGATAAATAATATGTCCTCATTGCTACTTCCTGTCAGATCCTTCTTTTACATTCTGAACTACATTGAACACTGAATGAACTTTTGAGGAGTGGAAAAGGTGCTTTCACTACAAATTCCTGGCTGTGCTGTCTTTCGTATCAGATGCTAGGGCTTCCAAGTGCAATCAGGAAGAGGTTCTGAAGCTTTTGATACTTGTATGGAAGGAAGAGTTTCCATTCATCCTTAGAGGAGAAGAGCCAGCCTTTGTGGCCTTGGGCAAACAATACAGTCCTGAAATGTTCCAAGAAGGAGGAACTTGTAAACTACTTCTGAGAACTCTATCTCTATGATTGGGAACAATTGCTGTAAGTCAGAATTGACTTGACGGCATGCAATTAAATTGAATAGAAAGCATAATTTATTCTTTATATAGAAAAAAAAGAATTACTATCACTTATTTCATCAATGCATTTGTTTCAGGACAAAGTGCTCCTGCCAGAATTTTGATTCATGTTGCACTGATAGACAGAGGAGCCCTGGCCTAATATAAAATGTAAGAACCCAAGTCTGGCAGCAGTACAGGTGGAAGAAGAGCAGACCAGAGTTAGCTGATTTTATTTTTTAGTTTTAGCTTTAGTTTTTCTGATCGCTTGTGAATCCTAGAAAAGCCTTCAAAAAGGAGATAGAGTAAGAGTACCACAGCACTTACTTACACTCTAGTGCTTTCTCACACAAAATAGACATAGCTTTTCTGGACTAAAGACATAGGTACAACAACAAGGGCTTACAAAAAGTAACAGGAAGCAGTTGATAGATAAGAATCATAATTCTGTGCCATCAAGTTGACTCTGACTACAGATGGGCATGAAGTTAGAAATGAACCAGGAAATTCATCAACAATCGCTAGTTCATTGATTCAGATCAGTTCAGGTTCATTCGAAATGGAGAACCTGAACTTTCTCAAACCAATGAATTTTTGGGTCATCTCTGGACTCCTGGTTCATTGCCCCCCACAGCCTGCCTCCTTCCCCACTGCAAATTGCTTTGGAAACACCACAGAATGACATTCTACCTATTTTCCTTCAGTGGACTTTATGAAGACAGCTTCAGTAGAGGAAGGATTCTCCGTCTCTGAAGGACTACATACTTGAAACAGAAGTCCACTGAACCATCAGATGCTGGAAATTTCCCACAGTCCTATGTGAAAAAATGAGCCAGCTATGTGTTCACTTGGAGAAATCCATCAAGCCTTGTCCAACTTAGTACTGTACCTTTCTGTTCAGAATAAAGGAGTGGACAATCTTCATAAGTCAATTCCGTCTAAGTATCGTAAAGATACTGCAATGTCATCAGCATACAGCTAATAGGTTTGGTCACTTTACAATGTCACAAAGCCAAATGAGAGTGAGAGCAACACTCATTGTCCTTACTCTGAATAGGCTGTAGAAGGCCATCAGACAACCATCCAGATTTGGCTATGTGATGACATAAACTGGGAGCATATCACATGAAGTAGCATTCTTCCAGTTTTAGGCAGAAGGAATGTGGTGGCGCTGCGGGCTAAACTGCAGAAGCCTGTGCTGCAGGGTTAGAAGACCAGCAGTCGTAAGATCGAATCCACGTGACGGAGTGAGTGCCCGTCGCTTGTCCCAGCTCCCGCCAATCTAGCGGTTCGAAAGCATGTAAATGTGAGTAGATAAAGAGGGACCACCTCGGCGGGAAGGAAACAGCGTTCTGTGTCTAAGTCGCACTGGCCATGTGACCAAGGAAGACTGTCTTCGGACAAAACGCTGGCTCTATGGCTTGGAAACGGGGATGAGCACCGCTCCCTAGAGTCGAACACGACTGGACAAAAATTGTCAAGGGGAACCTTTACCTTTACCTAGGCAGATGTACTCAACCTTAGCCTCATTTTTGTAAACAAATGGTAATTTGTTTGTGGTTCCTTGAAAGAAAAACTTATAAATAGCTAAATCCAGTCATATCTACTATATGACCACTGTTGTTAATGATTATGAATCTCTACATTTGATGATGCTGTGGACTAGAAAAGCAAGTAATTGATACAATAACAGAAATGAGCAACATAGCAGACCCTTATTTTCATGAAAACTACAGTGAATAGGTCTATATCCAAACAACACAAAGACACATGTACATTTTTTATAAAAACTCCAGTTTAATCTCGTGGTTGAAGCTTCCCAAAATGCTCAAGCAATGAAAGCACTAAAGCAGATAGCCTACAGGAGCAAAACCTCACAAAAACAATACCTACCAGAAGAAACACAACACAATCATGTGTGGCCCAGATACAGCATAATGAATTTTCTCCCTCCCTCCCTCTCTCCCAAGCGGAATGAAATTAATGAACACTAGAAGTACTATAACTGGTGGCCATTTTATATAAAGTTTTCTTTTTACAAAGGAGTAAGTGGAACGTGAATGAGTAGGAAACATCCTTGTCTACCAGACATTCTGGACAGTCAGTGCCCACTAGAGTAGACAGTGAAAAGCCATAACATAGCCTCTTATGGTCCTATAAAACAGTGGTTCCCAGCCTTGGGTCTCCAGATATTCTTAGACTACAACTTCCAAAAATCCTGAGCAGCACAGCTAGTGGTGAAGGCTTCTGGTAGTTTCAGTCCAAAAACATCGGGATATCCAAAGCTGAGAATTACTTTTATAAAACAACTTTATTTAGCTTAGTTGGTTGAGTGAAGATAAAAGTTTGAGTCCAAATGGAGTTTGCTCATTGTAGAGTTGTAAGAAAAGAAGATGCCTAGCCATTTAAAGAAAGGTTCCAGCGCTGATGTATCCTACAACTTAATAGCAGATCGGAGCAAAATCAGTGCTACAATTATAGGACTGGGTGGCATGAATCTTCCTACCATCTTGCATTAAACCTCCAAAACTTGTTCTCACCTAATGGAGAGGAAAAACTGATGTCTGCTTGTATCTGCCCAGGCTATGCTTTCAAGTTTTATCTTCAGGACCCCACAACTGCCAATACAAATTAGAACATGTCTTTCAAATGGCCTCAGGAATGAAAAGGAATGGGCCCTGTTACTCAATAGGCTCTCTGACTGACAACTGATACAGAGACCATGCAGGAGATCACGTTGGGAGAGAAGAAGAGATTTCATGATTGATGGGAGTGAAAGCTTTTGAAACGTCAGCAAAAGAACGCTCTCTCACTGTATTCAAGACTTGGAGATGTAATGCTGCTTGGAGACAATTTCTTTGGGTTTTTCAATTATACTTTTAATATATTTATATATGTTCCATTTATATATAAATTTAACACAATATTAAACAGTACAGCTTTTTGAAACTTTGAAGAGAGGAAAAAGCTAGCTATACATTTTGCACTGCAACTTCTTTTCAAACATACCTGTCACCGAAACTCACTCGGGCGCCACTAGTTATGATCTCAAGGAATCCAAAGCCTTAACATACTGGAAAGCTCTTCAGAAAATGGACCTGCTCTCAACAAACTGCATAACAACCTAGGTTCAAAGAAAAAACTAGATTTTGCTTCAACAAAGGGACCATGTCTTCTGCCCAAACGGCTCTTCCTGCACATCTCTTCATTTAGACAGGTGTAATTTCAGTCTGCTTTGAACAAATCAAGTCTTCCTCTTATTCAGAGTCTAGCCTATCCCTTTTTCCCTTCAGACAGCCTGTTCCATTCCTCTCATCCTTACTCAGGGCTTAGAAACATTTGCAAGAAAGGAATTATACATGATGCCCCACCCCATTGTGCAAAACAGGAAAGAAAATGGGGGGAACCCCCCTTTTTTGTCCTCTTGTTAGGATCTTAAAACCAACAATCTATGTCCAGGTCTAAATCTGGGAGAAGAAAAACTAGCAAATCTCATCTGATGTGAGTGCACAAAAAAGTGGACAAATGATCCTGCCAACAAAATCTAAAAAGCAACAGTTTCTCACATATTTTCAGCTGGATATCTCAGTAAGATAATTTGCATATTCCTGTTAACATGAACACAGCACTGTCCTTGTCTTCCTTTACAAACATGGACATGGCATGTCCAGGGACTGGCCATGCTCAAAACTGGTTAGGATAATATTTAAAATCCTCCAAGAGGTACTTTGGTGCAAGGTAAAGAAACAGCAATTCCTAGCAGACAGCTAGCGAGATGCCTCAAAGACATCCATTTTGTTTTAAGAAGCATCTTTTCTAACCAGGCTAAGGAATTCTATGTATATTAAAGAATACTGTGCAGGCCAACATACTGCCCATGGGTCACATGCAAACCCTCCCCCCCAGGATTTTATGTGGCCCTCAGCACCCTTGTGTATGTTTTCAAGGTATGTGACAGGCCCTCAGCACCCTTGTGTGTTTATGTTACGTGCTGTCAAGTCTGAACCAATTTATGGTGATCCTAACAGAGTTTTCAAGGTATGTGAGATATTTAAGGAATGTTTTTACCATTTCCACTCCCTCAGTGAGTTTCCTTGGCTGAGCAGGGATTTGAACTCAATTCTCCCGAGTCCTAGTCTGTCACTCTATCCACTACACCACACTGGGTATCTTAGCACCTCTACATCTAAATATTAATAATTCTTAAACTGAAAACAGAATGCTCAAACAGTCCTCTTGTGACTGCCTAAGAAGCATGAGGGGCAATTTAGCCACATTTTGAAGTGTGCCAGCCCTCTTGCTTTAAAAGAAGTAGGTTCTTTAGGGCAAACAGGCCAAGGGAACTTTTTCAATAATAACCTTGCCTCTTAAAAAGAATCCACGTATTTCTATAAGACATTTTGGGGGGTCACCAGTCATAGGAGTGGTCCTCCAAGGTCTAGGGCCTGATGGGTGGAGTCCCCAGCCTTCAAAAGATTCTCCATTCTTCGAATATGTATTTGTGCAGTTTCATGTCACTTCGACATATTAGCACAAGCAGCAAAAAGGCAGATCTCTTGTGCAAACAGACCTTTTCCTTTACTTGCCTCTGCAGATCTGCTTATCTAGGCCAGAATCTGACCGGTTTTTAACTGCATTTGGAAAAGAAATTGCAGCAGGCACAATGGCTAACAGATAAAGTATGGGCTGTATGAACAGGTGTATGATCAGTCGTGCATTTAACATGCAACTAGTGCTTCATCAATTGGCCATGGCGACTTCCACAATTTCTCTTCTGAGCATGATTAAAAACAACAACAAAAGGATTCTGGCCCTAGATCTGTTCTTTTTTACTTGCTTGCCCCAGGAAAACATGGCACTGGACTTGTAATCCAGAGGATATCTATACTCAATATAACCCACAGAGCATCTATGCTCTACAAATCACAGGTAAGATTTTTGATTCACCAATACATGGGGTTTTCCACTCTTTAGTTCCAACATAATGATTCACAACTGCAAATTAGCACAAGAATTCCTTTGCACATCAGAATACACAGTACATTCCCTTCTTGACACCTACTATTCCAGTGCTACACATTAAATGGCAGCTTAAAGAACAAGCTCATTTGGAACAATGAGAGAGAGAGAGAGAGAGAAATTCTGCTACAATTTCTTCAAATAAAGAGTGGCACAAAAGAAAAACAGAACTAATATGGTTGCTGGCAGCTTACTGTGACAGCTCTGCCCATCACTCCCTTCAGCAACTACTGAACCTGGGCATGATCCTTCAAAAGGATTAGTGAAACAAACAACACTTTGGAGAGAAAATCAATTGGGTTGGCAGTGGCTTCCCCCCCTTGCTGCTGCATTACTAAGGCTGCCAACCTCTGAGAACATATAGCTTATATGGCTATTTGTAAAATTCCCTAGAATCAATTAATATAAAAACCCTGCAGTTAGCTCTAAATTATCCAAAAGGATGGCAAAACCAATGTTATGGGAATAGGACTATTGCAAGAAACACCTGCTTCCTGGCAAGCATAGCCTATCAAGATAAATTTTAGCGGACACACACGAACATTCACCTTAAACTACTTATCTGAGTGCTCATTTTGCATACCACATTCATTACAATGTTCCTTGTAAGTATGTACATAAAGGGAGAGGGATGTTAAAAGGCCTACAGGCTTTTTGTTAAGGTCATGGGTTGGAATCTCCAGTCTAGGACAAATCAAAACCAACCTAGAAGCAACTTTTATGACCATAGAGAGGATCAGAGCTAGATCTGGAGTCAAGCATAAGTTCTTGAGATGATTCTGGGAAGCTGAGGAATGAGGGAGAGTATGGAAGAGGATAACTTTGGTTTGGGGAACAAGGATCAATCTCTGTCTATACACCCACCATTTTTTTGCCTTCATTTGGCTCACCCTTTGTCAAGGTGGGCTCAGAACCAGATCAGTTACACATGACAAGCAATAAAGTAAGGAACAGGAGGAATTGATGAATAAGTACTTTTTGAGTAATACATGTAGAACAATAACGTCATTATAGTTCTCAGTGTTACCTCCTCAATCTCATCCACCAGGGAAGAGAAGGGAAGAGAATTAACAAGGATTATTCAATCTGCCTCCCACTTCTCCCATCCAGAATCACAGATCTTCTTTGGGGTTGATAAAAACAGCTTGTGGAAGTCTCAAGTCTTTGTCCATTCTTTGGAATGGTCATCTTGTTCCGAAGAGTGACCCCTTCTGAAGCTGTCCCAGACATATCACTGGCAATGGGGCTCGGCGAGGGTGTGTGAGAGGGACTTTTTATGGGTGAGAGCAACACCCTAGCGTCTGCAGAGGAAGAGGGATGGTCCATGATGGGGAAGGGAGGACTAAAGAGGATTAGACTCTGAGGTCTTCCTGGTCTAGATCTGTAAGAAGGCTTGGAAACACCTGATGGCCTCTCCATTTTTGAGGACTGGGGAGTGTCTCCAGTAGCCTCTCCTTCTGAAGTACGCTTTCGACGAAGAACTGGTGCATCTTGGGTGGAACCGTGATTGGAGAAAGATGGTTCTATCTTTTTACTTATTGTCAAATCAACAAGGGCTGTGTTACTGTTTTCTTTCCCCTTCTTCTCTAACGATGGACTCTTTGGGGCCTGTAGCTGACCCTGAGCATTTTGAACTGACTTACACTGGCCTAAATTGGCTTCCACTTCTTTATTCTCTAGTGCCACCTGGGCCCTGCAGTTGGGGTTTTGTGTCTGTAGGGGCTGGGGGACCTGTGTATACTGAATCTTGGGTGGAATGACTGGCACAGCTCTAGCCTGGCACATCTTAATCATGAAAGAGGTTCTGACTGCTGAGACACTCACTGGAGCCGAGTTACGGCGACCAGTGGCAGCATGAGCCATCATTATGTAGTCGAGGTCTAAGTCTTGGGGATCAAAGCGAGAACCCCATAGGTCAGTTCTGTTCTTGCTTGGGCAGGCAACAGGAAGTGATGGCACAGAGTCACTGGTCTTAACTTCTTTTTGTCCACACAGGAAATGCCGCGGAGGAGTAGGCACAGAAAGACTCTCAAAGCTAAAAATGTTGGTAGATGGAAGCACAGAATCCAGATTGAGGGAAGATGGCCTTGGCCTCTCTTTCCGGGGGACATCTTCACTTTTATTGACCTGGGACTCTATAGCATTGTTTTTTGTGACAGCTGCTCCAGAGCTATCTGCTTCTTGAACACTAACTGACACTTCTTTTGGGCTATTTGAACTTAAAACACTGTCTCCAATATTGCTTTGATACTCCAGCTTCAAGACTTCTTGGTCTCTTTTGGCCACATATGCTTCCTTCTCCTGTGACTCTTTCTCAGGAGAGTGCGCAGATGGAAATTCTTTAGCTGCAAAGGCGGCTTCAAAGCTCAGATGATTCTTGCTTGTCTCAACAAGCTTAGAAGGTTCTTCTGAGAGATTCAGCCAGGCTTCTACTCTATCAGTGTCTTTCCATTGTGACGTTGAGGATTCTCTGACACTTGACTGGGTGTCACCATAAAGATGCTCATCATTTGCACTTATAAAAGGCACCTGAACAGCCCAGTGCCTCTTCACAAAGTCTTTACTGTCCAAAGAAAAGCTACGGCTGAAACATGGCTTCTTGAAATGGCTCTGAGCCACTCCTTGGCTTGGTGGCTGAAACTCCTGAAGTGCTTTTCCTTGGACGTCCTTGAAAGTAGGGGAATGAAGGGGGCTGGTGACCCACTGGTGATCTTCCCATGGTTCTACCAACTCTAAACTCTGGCCATGATCTACCCATGTATCTTCCTCTTGCTGGTCAAGAGAGTCTTGGGTTTGATCATTCGTGCTGTTCTCCTTGACTTGTTCAGCTCCAGCTACAATTAAGGTTCTAGAGCTGGCCAGGTCTTCAGTGCCTGAAAACATGTCATGACCTTCCTGTGCTTGACTGACACTGATTGCATCCTTCTTACTTTGAAGAAGCCAGTTGTTACCTTCCCACCTTGATTGGCCCAAATGCTTTTCTTTGGGATGTGATAAGGATTCGTCTCTTGAAACAGCTGTGCTTTCCAGTGGTTTTGATGGCAGCTTCTGCTCTTGAGGCATGGATAGAGAGCCACGTCTTGTGTCCTCATTCTCCAGACACACCGTTGAACAAGGTATCTCATATGGGATATTTTCCAGTTTTGGTAAGGTGAGAGAAACATCATCCTGCTTTTTGAACACTTTGGAGTCACAAACAGGGGTGTGCGTTGATTCTTTGGAAGAACCACCACACAATGGAATGTAAGGTAGAGCCACTGTGTTTCCGACCAGATTTTCATCCTCCAGAGATGGCAAAGGCAGCACAGAGATGCATGCTACATTGTTTGCTTCTGAAGATGATACCGATGTAGCACTAGCCTTAAACTCCTGTTGCTGTTGGCCTTTCTCGGGTGAAACCACGGCAAATGGGAGTTCCTCTTCAGACTCAACAATTTTCAGCTCTTGTTGAATCTCTGGCCACAGAGTTTCCATTGCAACACTGGAATGATCAGCATGTGCCTGAAAAAGAGAACCCACATTATCAAGACAGCTTCTTTTTCATTAGCTTCTACTCCTTTTCTTTCTACCGAGATACATTTTCTACATTATGCTTCCCGAGCGAGGATTAAGTTATAAACATATGCATACAAATACTGTGTATGCATATGTTTATACTGTGAAACAGATACTGTGAAACCTTTTCAAATGTAGATGTTCCTTAGCTTGTATGATTCTAAGCAGGATTTATTTATTTATTTATTTATTTATTTATTTATTTATTTATTTATTTATTTATTTATTGGACTTATATACCGCCCCATAGCGCTACAAGCACTCTCTGGGCGGTTTACAATTTT